TATGCTTAATTTCTAGTTGACCCTTTTTCATATCCTCAAGCACTTCATTTAATTTATTGGCCTTTTCTAGGAAATGCTTGAAAAACCTTATAACTGTGGTTTTGAACTCTATATCCAGTCTTTTGCTTTTCTCCATTTCCTTCAATTGAGGCCTGCCTCTTTGTCTCCACATTTTAGCAGCTTCCCTGAGTTGATGGAGTAGCTTTGTGTGCTATGTGTCCGAGCAGGACCCAGTTGCTCAGCCTCCTCAGTTACTTATGGTGGACCCTCTTGGTGCACCCCTTTGTGGGCTGTATGTGCAGTTTTGTTGTAGTTAAGTCTTGATTGATTTGCAACATTTTATTTATTTTTTTTAATATATTTTATTGACTTCGTACAGAGAGAAAGGGAGAGAGATAGAGAGTTAGAAACATCAATGAGAGAGAGTCATTGATCAGCTGCCTCTTGCACACCCCCTTCTGGGGATATGCCCGCAACCAAGGTACATGCCCTTGACCGGAATAGAACCCGGGACCTTTCAGTCCCCAAGCCGACGCTCTATCCATTGAGCCAAAACGGCTTCAGCAATTTGCAACATTTTAAACAATGTAAAAATATTTCTACATCCAGGAACATTACTAAACACTACCCTTTCTTGGAGAAAATCATTTTTAAAGTTAGGTAATTTTCCTACCTTAAAGCTCTTCAATTAATGACTAGGAGCACTGGAATCACAATCATAATTTTATTAATAATCCATAGTTTCATTTATCCCAAGTGGCATAAATATTAAATTGATACTGATTCACCTTTTGGATAGTTTTCTGTAGGTACCAAGTGGATTTTAATATCATAAATTATTGACATTGTACTTTAAATTCTTTTCCTTCTTTCTAATTTGTGAGATAATACTCCATTGTCAATTTATGAACAATCATTTCTGTAGATTTTTTTCCTCACACTTCTGTATTTTGCTCTGGTTTTTTGTTAAGCCATCAACCTTCACATAGTTTCTTCTAGAATTACATATATGTACTAATTCGAGTTCTAGAAATAGGCTTTTACTTTCATCATCTAGCTATTTTGGATCACTCTAAATTTCTATATTCATTTATCATTCAAATTGAAAATGGAGGGTTTTGCTACATTTGAAAATAATGAGATTAATGAAATATGATGAATTGAAGGGGGGAGGGAGAAAAAAAAACCTTGAAAAATGTTGAGGAGCCATAGTTTATTTTATGAAAGGATATGGTGCAGGGTATAAGTTAAAGAAATTGGGTGAAGTATTATAAAAACTTCTCTGTGGTGGAAATAGCTTGGGTGGTTTTTTTTTAATCATTTGTCCACATGGTAGTGCAATTGTGTGATATTTACATATTGCTGATTTGGAACCAGATACACTCATTAGACACATTAGCTTCAATTTGCTTTTCAAGTATCATCTCTACTTTCCTTTGTAGTACAGATCAGAAGAGTAGAGTTCAAGGATATTGGAGGGTGGAGTGGGGAAATGTATATATGAAAGATTAATGGTCAAATCATTTAAAATTAAACATTATGGGATTTAATACTTAATAATCTTCTTAAACCTATCAACCTAATTTTATTTCATCATTATAATACTTTATTTGTAATTATTTCATTTTTCTTTGAAATAAAACAGAACAAAGGATAAATAATATGCAATTTTTACTCTTAAACTTATAACATATAGAAACCATATGCAAAAACATAATTTCTGTCTTCTATATTTTGTTTAATTTGCCTCTCATACTATTGCCTCACAATGTCCTTATGAAATTACACTGTATATATAATTGCTTATGTGACTATTAACTGTGTTATTGTGTTTTCCCCTCTCAAGGACTTATTGTTGGTGCTGTAATACTTGGTATTATAGCTATAAACAAAAAATTTGGAAGATCAAGGTGAGCAGAAATTCTGATAACTTAAAACATTTGCTCTTAGCTTCTTTCTGGTAAAACTTGATATTTTATCATGAATAGATAATTTTCCTCATTTAATTGTCTTTTGGGACATGCTATCTCTTTATTCCTTTTGTCTATAATGACTACCTTGCATAAACAGGCTTTGTGTCTTTTTTTTTAATTTTCAATATATTTTAAAACATTAACAACATTTTAAAGGAAAGTGATTTGAAAGCCAAAGTCTCACTTTGCAGTCTATTAACCAATTGCCTTTCCCTTAGTACAACTGATGGTAGCATACTAGCGTGAGTGTTGCACAAAACCAAAGAATTCTAGGGGGGGCGCCAGCCTCTTAACAGCACTAAATCGCCTGTACTTAGGCCTGTCTTCGAGTTGCATTTATTGCTGCATCTGGTCCAGCCCAAGATGACAGGCTCTCATCTGCCTGCATGGTTCCATCCTGTGTCTACTGTCCATGTGCCATGTCACCGTGAGCAACTCCACCTCTCTGTGCCTCAGCTTTCTCATCTGTAAAATGGGGGGAATAGAGAGCCTTCCTTATGGGATTGTGGTAAGGATCAAATCAGTTTCCACCTGTAAAGAAGTTAGACCATCACTTGGCGTAGAGGAGGCTCCGGTGGTAAAATAGTAACACGTAGGGGGAAACCCACAGTCTGATCTGAAACATTTGACCTGCCCTGAACATTCATATGTTAAGTGCATTGTCATGGTTGGCTCTGGCACGTTCTGCAGACAGAGGACTTACATTGACTTCTTCTGGCCTCTGGGCGGAGGAAACAGCATGTGCAAAGGCCTGTCTGAGAAACAGAAGTTTTTATTTCCTTAATCCTTATAAACACGCACAATACCTTAAAAACATAAACACAAATACATAAATTGAGTCTCTTCTGTTATCTAGCAGATTTTATTGTTCAGAAAACTAATTATGGAGTTCATATAAACTCTTGAGTCATTTCCATACTTCCCTAATGCCTTCATTTCATTCACTAATTAAGAACAACTATATTTATGCTGTTACTAAATTGCCTGTCTTCATTCTTTGGCAGATGTGACTATCTGCTTTTAGCCCCATTTAACGCTTTCCTTTCTCCTTAAATTAACAAATATCGCTAAGTAGTAGAGTTAAGCCTACTATAAGCTAAAGCAAAAGTATGAATGTTCTTTAAATCACTAAATGGTTCAGTATTTTAGCCAAATATTAGACCATGGGGTGCTGGATTTTTAAAATAGTTTTCCCTGTTCATAAAGTGGGCTTGAGGCCATGTTACTAAATGTAGGAAAATATAACTTTCTCTTCAAGATTTTCAGGAACTTTTAAGAATGGGCTGTAAAGCCCAGCCAAACACAAGCCTAAGTCATTAACATGAGCTCATACGGAGGCCCGAGCAAAACTGCTCTGGGAAACAGCAAACCAGCCGCCTCATGCTCTGCCTTCCGTTTGTCCCACCTCTTCGTTGTCATTTACCTTCCAAGGCCAGTGCTGGGGACTCCGCAGGCAAGAGAGGTGGAAAGCGCTGAGAGTGCAGGTTGCTCTAGCTCTCAGCTGCCCTCCGATTCTTTACCTTGGCAGAGCAACTGGCCATGATGTTTTTGATAGGATGGCAAGTGTTGAACCATAGAAGGAGGGCATGTTGGTTTCCCTCATTCCTCTATTTCCGAATAAGAGGAAATTCAGGCATAAATCCCTAAGAAAGAATTTGCCTTTTTTTTTTTTTTTTTTTTAATGTGCCCTTTAATAACACTCCACTTGCCTTAATTGAGAAGTGAAAGCTGTTGAGAGTAAGAGCTAACTTTATTCATCCCGGTTATCCTCCTAATTCATATCACTTTTAACACTTTTGTATCACTGTAATTAAAACTTTGATCTTAATGAGGACAGGGCAAAGAGTTCATGAGTCTTTGAAGGGGGAGGTGATAGTGTACCTTCCCCTGATGGTCCTTGTGTTTGCTATGAAAGGATTTACCTCTTTTTGAAGGGTGGGGTTTGTACGATACCTTTGAGCTCATAAAAAGGATGTGGTTATAAGCAACTGTGGTACTACTTTTTGATTCAGGTTAGAGTTATATAATTCAATTAGTGTTTTCCCTCTCTACCATTCAGCTCTTATTACCTCCATGAGAACAGCAAAGCACTCAATGTTATGTTTCATGATTTCACAGAGATTGATGCCTCAGAAGTATATCCTGGTAAATGACAAAAGGTATATAGTTCTATAAAATCGCATTTCTTGTAAAATGTCCAATCAATACTGTTGGCTCAGGGTTTGTCCGGTACTAATCAAAGATAATAGAGGCTTCAACCTCTATTATTGTCAGACCTTCTTCTCTTTTTGTGAATGATTGACTCGCATTGATCTCTCATTACTATAACATGTCATCAGTTCTTTAACACTTCAGCAATATGCGCATCATCTCATTCTGTTTGCACTCAATTTATTGTAATGATTAGATGCTAGCAATGACATAAATACTTGGGGAGGAAAACAAAAGGTCAATACTTTAGGTCTACAAATAAGAATGCCTTTATTCTAACTATTTGCATCATGAGATGATGGGCTTATATTGTATTTGTTTCTCTTTTTTGCTTGGTGGCTTTCAGAATTTCCAGTGTTTGGGAAATATTAAAATTTGGTGTACAGTATATTTTATAAGTCCTGTTTATGGATCTGATAAGAGAGCTCTTTTATGTTGTCATGGAAAATTGTTATGCAAAAATAACTTCACATTAACGTATCTGTGAAACTTTCTAGGTGTCCTCTTTTTGGACAAAACTTTCCTCTATTTCACATGTAGTAGTCAAGGGGTTCTCACTGAGTTTTAACCTGAAAGTATCTTCATTGATTCTACCTCGACCACTTAATCTCAAAAACTATTTTAATTGGTGTTGGCCATAGTTACTATGCGCTAGCTCCACAGTGGCTGAGGTTGTCTATTCTGTATAACTTACTAATTTTGCATTGTTTGATACCCCAAATTCTCCATTGTTTATCATATCATAACTTAACATTTCATGTTTAACACCAATAAGTGAAATTACTTTGATTTTAACTTTTTATTTTTAACTTTCAGGAAACACATTTATGACATTGACAGTTTTGCTTATGATGCTGGTAGCCATTGGCTACAGGACTTAGCCAAAGAAGAGATAAGAAGAAAGTGCATACAAGTTCACAGAATATCCTAGTTTTTAAGAGTTTCTGGAAGCACAGACACAGTCTATGCAGTGGTGCTCTTCATCTTGCACGTTATCAGTGTCCTTAAGGTGTGCAACAATGTCAATAAAGCGAGAAGAAACTAATCTGTCCTGGAATTGCATTCTCAACATTTCTAAGCCTCTTGAAAATAGAACAACTCACAGGCTGAGAGTGATTATGTGTCTAAAAGTGTAGGTATTTGTGAGCATGAAGAAAAGGAATGTGGACACCAAAGAAAGGGTGTCACTACCATCACTACTAGCCCCTTTGAAAGGTCCAGAAAATGTAATTAAGACCTGGTTCACAGAAAAAGAAATGGACAGCCAGTATGAAATGGAATTGCCACAGCCTAGGACAAAGACTATCCTTACTCTACAATGTCATTAAAATTTTCCTCAGATTTGTGTTACCCCAGTTACTTATAATAGTACCCCGAACCCTTGGGGATCAATAAAAAAATCATCTTTTGGTGCTTGGAGACAAAGGTAATACATCTCTTAATATTCTAAAATTACAAAAGCATGCCGAAACCTGTTTGGCTCAATGGATAAAATTACAAAAGCATAATATACAATTATCCTGGGTTCCCCAAAATATGTGATCAGTACTGGGGCCCCGCCAGTAGGCGTGGGAATCCTAAGGCAGGAGCTGGATGTGGAGGTCACTGGGGCATAGGATACCAAGGAGACAGAACTGAACCTCACATCACCCTGTTTGGTCTCAGAGGATGGCCGGTTAGCCAGTGTCGGGTAAGATTCCTCAGGGAAGGAACAACCTAAGACAAGCACAGTCACAGAGGGGCCATCAGGAGAGAACTTGGGGGTCAAATGAGATGGGGCACAGACCCTCACCCCCAAAACTTTGCAGGGGCCCGAAACCTCACCCCTGCTGAGAGAGTCTCCTGCCCCCCTGTCCAGCTCAAACCGGGACCGGGTAAAAGACAGAGACTTGGCTGACAGCAGCCACCCTCGCACTACAACAAGACTTGTTTGAGTTGTCTTGTAAACAGGGTGTGGGGAAATGGGTTTTTGATATCTAGATCCAGCCTACCACCAGGAATGCTCAGGGCCTACTCAAGAAGGCAAATAATCCTTTCCCCTAATATTTACACGGTAAAATAAGATTGTTTTAGAGTAATAAATTTGACAGTAAAATAGTAGTCAAGTTTTCAGGCTAATTTAAATTGGCTAATTGAAATAAGCGAATACCCTAAAAAAAAATAAAAATAAATAAATAAATAAATAAACCAACTTATTGCACTTGACAAAAAACTATTCCTAAAGTGTTAACTAAAATTTTTATTGGTAGTTTATCTCAGGATAAAATTTCACAATATGAAATGAACCTAAAGCAGTCATATTATAGTGCAAAAAATTAAAATTTAAAAGCTATCAAGACTACATTGTAACATTTTCAAAAGCCTCCTAATATTTAAAATCAAAAAAGGGGGAAAGTAGAAGAATATCATGTAAAGAAAAATATCCTGAAAATAAATTACATCTATAAAATCTGTACTTTAGAAAATTAATTGTAATGCTATCATTAAGACACCCATGAAAAACACACATGGTGTCAAAATAAGCCAGAGGAAAATCATTTGGGCAAAAAATGAAAAAGGATCCCAAGTCAAATTTATGGAAAATATTCCTTTATTAACTTTTGGTCGAGAATATGTTTGTATATTTTCAGAAAACAACTCCAAGACCATGTGGATTCTGGCAACAGAGAGGAATTGACAGGACTACTCCAACCATGAAGACAGAAGAGAAGCAGTCCAGAGATGGAAGTTGCAGTTGACGCCTTACCATAATAGCAGTCAGCAGCTGTGTATCACTGCAGGTTGCCCAGGAAGAAATCAGAGAGGGTTGGACCTGCATTACCACCATTTGCCCACCATCCAGAACTGAAAGATCATTGCTGACGTGTACACATAAGGAACTGTTTGACATTGAAATTGGGTCTCAAAAGAACTGGTGGCCCAGAAAGAAGCTCACTACAGACTGATTCATAGGCCTTTCAGCATGATTATTGCTTACCTTATTTTTGATTCTTATATTTCCAGTAGGACATGATCTCACTCATCTAGGGGAAATGGTGAACAACATAGACTGATGAGCAAGAACAGACCCAGAGATAAGGAGCCATGGGTCAGACTGTTGGACCTCAAAGGGAGGGTGGGGATAAAAGGGAGAGATCAACCAAAGGACTTATGTGCACACATATGAGCCTAACCAGTGGTCAGGGACAATCCGGGGCTGGGGGATTGGAATGGGGGGTTGAGGACAAATATGTGATACCTTAATCAATAAAGACATTAATTTTAAAAAAGGAAATAAGTTATTTTCCCCATTAGATTTGTAATGTTATGTTTACTTAAAAATAAATAAATATATACATTAATTGGAAATAGAAAACAAATGAAAAAAACATTGCCCAGTCTCTTCTGAGGAAAATTGCCAAAGAGAGATGAACCACACTATAAAATAACCCTTATGGGCTCTCAGACATTTTTATCATTCCTCTTCCACTCAAATGAGCTTGAAATGCTTGGCAAATGTTTTATTTTTTTTTTTATTTTTTCTTTTTTTTTTTTTCTTAATTTTTATTGTTTATATTAATACAAATGTCCCTTCCCACCCCACCCTCTGCCCTTTCCCCACCCCCCATTGTCCTCATCCATAGGTGCACAGTTTATGTTCAGTCTCTTCCCACATCCCCTTCTCCCCTTTTCCCCAAGAATCATCAGTTCACTCCCCTTCCATACCTCTGATTCTATTATATTCAACAGTTAATATTGTTCATCAGATTTTTTTTTTAATTTCCTTGGTTTTTAGATTCACTTGTTGATAATTACGTATTTGTTGTTCATAATTTTTATCTTTATTTACTTTCTCTTCTGAAAGAACCCCCTTCAGCAATTCATATAATTCTGGTTTGGTGGTGATGAACTCCTTTAGCTTTTTTTTATTAGTGAAGCTCTTTATCTGACCTTCCAATTTGAGTGATAGCTTTGCTGGATAGATTATCTTTGGCTGTAGGTTCTTACTATTCATCACCTTGAATATTTCTTGCCATTCCCGTCTGGCCTGCATGGTTTCTGTTGAGAAGTCAGCTGACAATCGTATAGGTGCTCCTTTATAGGTAACTATCTGCCTAGCTCTTGCTGCTTTTAATATTCTCTCTTTGTCTTTTGCTCTTGGAATCTTAATTATGATTTGTCTTGGTGTGGTCCTCTTTGGATTCCTTTTATTTGGAGTTCTGTGTGCTTCCTGGATTTGTAAGTCCAATTCTTTCCCCAGGTGGGGGAAGTTTTCTGTCACTATTTCTTTCAATATGTTTTCGATATCTTGCTCTCTCTCATCTTCTGGGACTCCCATAATTCTGATGTTGGATCGTTTGAAGTTGTCCCAGAGGTTTCTTACATCATCTTCAATTTTCTGGATTCTCTTGCCTTCTAGCGACTGCAGAGGAGTATCTTCTGGCTCTTTATGTTCCAAATCTTTGACTTGATTCTCAATTTTCTGGATTCTCTTGCCTTCTAGCTTCTGCAGAGGAGTATCTTCTGGCTCTTTATGTTCCAAATCTTTGACTTGATTCTTGCGATCTTCTATTCTGTTTTTAGGACTCTGTATAATAGTTTTTATTTCAGACAATGTAATCTTTATTTCTTGTTGATCCCTTTTCATATCCTCATAAGTCTCATTTATTTTATCGGCCTTTTCTAGGAAACTCTTGAAAAACCTTATAAGTGTGGTTTTGAACTCTATATCCAGTCGCTTTTTGTCCTCCATTTCTTTTGTTTGTGATCTATTTGGTTTAGGCATTTTCACAGGCAGCTTTCCTGATGGGGCGGGGTTTCAGGGTGGAGCCTACAGCTTTGGCTTTCGTCAGCCCCGCCCTATGCGACTCCTGAGACTCAGGGTCCTTCAGTACTTGTTGTAAGCGCCTCTGAGAGAAAGGCGCCCTCGATTTTCGCTTGCTGCCAAACAGTCAATGCTCTCCCCCACTGAGCCCGGAACTGGGGTTCAGTTCAGTTGGAAGTGGAGTTGGAGGTGGCGTTCAGAGCAGGCTGGAGCCCCTGTCTCCTTCCCGCCAGGCAATCCTGCGGCACAGCCGGCCGCCCCTTCTCTGCGCAGCGCCGCCAGGACCTCCTTTCGCCGCTCCCCCGGGTTCCGCCTTTCAGCCCAGCTCCCTCTGTGTGAGCCTGGGTCCCCGGGGTCTGGCCCAGGCCTGGGGTTCAGAGCAGTCAGAATGGGGCCCAGCACAGTCGGAGCGTTTATCACCTTCCCGCCAGGGAACGCCCGCCAGGCACTCCGCTCCCTCCTCTCAGGCTCCGTCCTCTCCGCGCGCCGCGTGTCTCCGTACCTTAGGCTTTTCCAGCTCCTCCGCGCTTCCTTCTGGTTTTCTCCTTGCTTCTTGTTGTAGAATTTCCAGTCAGTCAACTTTCCTGTAGTTCTGGGTGATGTCCATTTTATATTTTAGTTGTATTTTGTTGAAATTGTTGTGTGCGGCGCGGCTAGGTGCCTACCCGAGCAGCCATCTTGGATTCTCTCTTTGGCAAATGTTTTAAATGAAAAATAGGTTAATGACTCAGAGTGTCAAGTTTCTTGGATTAGGTGGTGGCAAAGGAGAAGTATAGAAGGAAGAAATAATTATTTCTTTCCCATATAAGTACAAGTAATTAACAAGAATTTAGCTCCTTTTTAAAAAATATATTTTATTGATTTTTTATAGAGAAGAAAGGAGAGCTAGAAATATCTTCAATCAGCTGCCTCCTGCACACCTCCCACTGGGGATGTACCCGCAACCAATGCCCGGAATCAAACCTGGGACCCTTCATTTCACAGGCTGACGCTGTATCCACTGAGCCACACCGTTTTTGGCATGGATTTAGCTCCTTTTAAGATAGATCAGTGACAATTTTAATTTTATTCTTAGGA